TCGGAGCGCGATTTCTCACGTCTCTGTGTGCTCTCTCTCTCTCTCTCTCTCTAGTGCGATGACACTGACCTCACCTCCAAGGTTCAGGAGCTGAAGCTGCAGTGTCTGGTGTTCCTCAACATTCCCAGGTTAGCGTTAACACCGTTTCTGCGTACTCCGCGTGAAGATGGCTGCGCATCAGGGCTGTGTGTTATTTCCAGTGTGCGGAACGTTTGCAAACCAAGTTCGCGTAGATGTTGTGTGCCTCCACAAAAAATGTGATTTATTCTGTTGCTGGTTTTTCAGTGTGCAGACTAAGTGCATTTTTGCCTCTCTTTCGCTGAGTAGATGAGCCAAGTCGCGCTGAATTCAAAACAGAACTTCTCAATCAATGTTTTTACTTGCACAGTGTGCCTTATAGTGTATTGGTCTCCTGTTGTTTTTTGAAAATTTGCGTTCACTGTGCAGATTAAACTAAGGCCTGTGGACTGTGCCCCCCCCATGTCATGAGCTCAGATGGGCTGTTTTGTCAGTGTGGTGTCGAGCTAATACCTATCGATCCTGATCCGCGGTCTGGCGGGATATTGGTTTCCCTCGGTGGCTGTATTGATCACGGTCCCCTTGTGCGTCTGTTTGGCAGGTACTGTGCAGGTACCATGCCCTGGGGTAACCCTGGCGAGCACCACGACTTCGAACCGCAGCGACACGACGACGGCTGCATCGAGGTCATCGGATTCACCATGACGTCTCTGGTAGGGCTGCAGTCAGGGCTCAGCCTTCGCTGAACATCGCTCGCTTTCCAGAGAACTTCATGTCTCATTTGCAATATCTTATTCACAAGTTGAATTTGCTGAGTTCAAAGAAGACTAAAACTTTTTTTAAAAAATGATGTGCCCTTTTTGAAAAGTTTTACCCTTGCATTTTGAAAGTCTGGATAAGGATTAGTGGTCTGTTGTCAGGTTATGTCTGACCTTCTAGCTCGACATAAACTGCTTTATGTCTGGTAATCTGTGTTTCGTATTCCGAGTGAAGAAAGGTATTAAGCACATCATTTTAACCTGGCATTGCTCCAGGCGGGATCGGCCCTCTTACAAACACATTTTCATTTATCACTTTCCTCCTGTCGTCATGGAAACCTTCCCCTGCTCTCCCAGCCGAATCCCGCTGTATATTGATTGACCCTCTCTCTCTCTTTCCTCGGGTTCGAAGGCTACGCTACAGGTGGGGGGTCACGGCGAGAGGCTAAATCAGTGTCAGAAGGTGACCCTGACCACCTACAAGCCCATCCCCATGCAGGTGGACGGAGAGCCCTGTAAACTCGCCCCCTCCGTCATCCACATATCCCTGAGGAATCAGGCTAACATGGTGCAAAAGACCAAGCGCAGGACCTCCATCCCTCTGCTAAACGAGTAAGAGATGGCGCCTGCGGCCCCTGTACTCCACAGTTCTCTCTCAGCTATTCCTCACTGTAGCAACACGGCCTCTTAGCTCCCCGCTACATTTTATCCTGGACAGCCTATAGCCTAGCAGCTAGCATATTTGACTGGGTCGTTTAGCAATCTTGATGGTTTAAATCTGAGTACTGCCGCTTGAACCCCATAAAACCTAAAACCTACGGACCCACGGATGGGCCTGTCTAGTGCAGCTGCTGTACTGAAACCTCTTCAACTTCAGGCCATTTTTAAATTCTAGTGGAGATCCCAAAGTTTCCTATGATCCCAAATGTGTCCTGCTGAATTACAGGGAAATGTGTATGAAATGTACAAAATCTAGATATTTCCCTTTTGATTTAATGCTGTGGCCATAAATACTTGGCGTCCTGGGTTTGAATATTTCTCTCAATATAAGTGCGATGTAGCTTCAGTGAAGTGCTGCAACCAGCAGATACAGAATATATATGTGACACTGTCCTGCAATATGAAAAGCAAATGCTTAAATCAATTAAGGCTTAAGGCAGTTTAAGGGATTAAGATCAGTGTAGCCATTGGGCCCTTGTGTGGGGCCTGTCGTGCTGCATTGCTTTGTTATTCTAACAAATTGTTAAGTGGCTTTGGATTACAACATGAGTTGAGCATCTGTATTGTAGTACTACTGCAGTCAAACATTTGGAAGATGGTATCCTTTTGGCTTAAGTATGCTGAAAGACTGACTAAACTAAGAGTTTCACTCTTGTGCTAAAATACACTTAAGATGCTAAGATGCTTAAGTACACTGTCACTGAAGTACACTAAAAGAGTGTCAATCTTGCCCTTAAGTACACAAAGAATGTCAATTTTTGTGCTTAAGTATATTACAGGAGTCAATCTTGTGCTGAAGTCCACTAAGAGTGTCGATCTTGTGCTTAAGTACGCTAAGCGTATCAGTCTTGTGTTAAAGTACCCTAGGAGGTGTCAATCTTGTGCTAAAGTTTACTGAGATAGTAGGGTCTTGGCGTCCCTGCATTCTTCTCCGCTACATTGCGGGGTTTAAATCTTGTGTATGCAGAATGCAAGCCGTTACATTTCACTGCCAATCTTGCCCTTAATTGCGCTCTGTAAAAGTAAGCAGAGACTGTAATCATTTGTTGGTGGAGGCATTTTTAACTAGATAAATTTATGTGCTGTGGCCAAAGTTATTGTGATTAAAAGAAGAGTAATCTCACAATACCCTTTGACAGTGATATTGCTAAAATTGATTACGGTCTCACACTTCAGTATGAGCTAACACTGCCAGCTTTCTCCCTGCTTCATATCCAATATGAGTATTTTTATTTATTCCTGTCATCAAACCAGCTGGGAGGCTAAAAGCTTGGCAGTCATGTTGTTTTTAAGCATGATTTTTTTTTTCATGCAGATCAAAAGGATCTAAAAGTGTCTGTATAATTCACATTAACAGTGTCCTTAAGCCCATCTTGTGTGTGTTTTAATTCTCTTCTTCATGCCTGTTATAAAATGACCATAACTCTGTAACTGTAAAACTAATTAATGTTTTGTCGTTTTGTCAGAGACAAGAGCAGGGCCTCTAAGTGAAGTCAGGTCAGGCCTTTTTTTTACATTTTACGTCACAGGGCTTTTGTTGGCGTAGCCTTGAGCGCTCTCTGAGCCTGACCATGTGTATCGACTCTGGCAGAGAGGATTAAGAAAGTCTTATTTTTAAACCTTGAGGATATTCAAGTTTTTTAAGCCTTTTTAGCAAGAACTGTCTTTGAATGTCAGTTTTGAATGTCAAGTTGTTACTGTGACTCTGTGCTATCGCTGCAGAATCGGGCAGTGATATAGGGGGGTCCTGCGATTGGCTGAGACGCTTCTTCCTGCCAACCAAAGACCCAAAGCCCTGATGCAGCTCCACCCACAGCCCTATTCTATTGGTTAACCCAGAACTCTAACCCTAACCCATGGGTCTGACCCAACTCCACCCCTTCAACCAATAGAATGGGGCTGTGGGCGGAGCTGGATCTGGTCCAACTTTGCCCTCTGGATCTTTGGTTCCACGACAAGAGGACCTTGAATTGGCTTGTCAACCTAAACTTCTGTGTCTATTTATTTTCCTGCTGCATTGTGCTGTTTGGGCAGCAGCACAGTCATTATGTTTGAAAAGAGCTCCTGTTGTGCAGCTTTAGCACGGGCACCTTGAGTGTGTAACCTGTAGCCAAATTTTTCAGTTACCATCCCCTCGGTCTGGTCGGCATTACATTACAGGCATTTAGCAGGCACTTTTACCCTAGAGAGATGTACTACACAGAGTGAATGAGCTGCTACAGAAATTTTTCAGAGGGATGTAGCGTCCCAAGTGCCGGGAAGTAACCAACTAATTTGGATTCGGACCCTGTAAAGACAAGCACCACAAAAACAATCGTGACAGTTAACAAGGTGGCAATATTGAGCACAAGTATTACGAATCCAAAATCAGCTGGAACAATACTAATAAGTAATTGTAGGGTTGGGCGAATTTACTTCCCCTTTCGTGACTTTAGGCCACAGGCGGCACTAGTCAAGTTGAGAATGGATTCTGTAGGGATCCTCCATCCTTCAAGTGCTATTACTGGATGTGCCATCCGAGTGTTTATTGTGATTATGGCTGTAGTACTGTTTATTAGGTCTGGATGCAGTATGACATCTAATTTTGTTTGAGCGAGGCTGTATACTTACTGCTGGCAGGTTTTCTGTTGCATCGGTTCTTTGTGAAGTTAACACAAATTGTCTGAGTGTGAGTCTGAGGCAGTGAGATGTACCTCAGCGTTATGAGCACAGCAAAGTCTAATTCCTGTCGACATGGAAAAATGGGCTCTTGTATTCTTTTTGAAGTCAGCAACAAACCCCTGGCCTTTTGTCTACACTGGAATCCTCAGTTATCTGGACTTGATGTAATCTGCTGTGAAGGCACTTTGAAAGGCTTGCGCAGGTACTTTAAACTTTCTCTCTGACTTTTCCCTGCAGGGAAGACTGAAAAATAAAAATATATAGAATTTGGGGTTGTTTTTAAATGAAAAAGACCATTTTAATCCAAAGATATATATTTTCTTATTTCATAGTTGAGTGATTGCTGGCAATCCCGTTGCACTGCGCATAAATCCAGTAATAATCTCTAATTTAAAATGTTTTCCAGCTGTGACTACGAAATTCTGATGCTGTTACAGGTACTTCATCACTTGTGACTTAATTCTAAATCTTCATTTCCTGAAAATGTTACCCAAGGTCAGGTCACTCAGAGTTCATTTTTTTTGCTTCAGAGCAGGAAGTCAGAGCACCAACATGATATTATTCGCATACACATCCCTGCGAACTGTTGCATCTTTTTTTGCAAATGCTCATGTCTGGAGCAATTGACCTTTTCTTACTCAAAGTACTTTTATAAAATTGGATATTTTACCTTGTCAATCTCGCTTGGAGACCAGTGAGAAGTCACCCTGCTTCTCTCATTGGTTCGTCTGATCCTTGTGACTGTGAATGATTTTGGAATGACCGGACACAGTTGGTTTGTTTGGTGTTACTGCTTACATCACAGTTTCCCTATACTCCTATTTACTCAAAAAGTTTGAGGATGCCATGATGGTGCGGTGGTTAGCACTATTGCCTCATGGGAAGAAGGTCGTGGGTTTGAATCTAGCCTGGGGCCTTTCTGTGTGGGGTTGTCAGGTTCTCCGCGTGTTCGCCTGGGTTTCCTCCGGGTACTCCAGTTTATTCCCACAGACCAAAGACATGCGTGTCAGGCTAATTAGAGACTCTAAATTGCCCATAGGTGTGAGTGTGTGAGTGAATGGTGTGTAATTCCTGCATTGCTTTGATATTATGGCCTTAAAAAAGTGCTGAAATGCTGTTAAACTTGTCGTAATAAATTAATTAACTGGCTGGAAGTGTTTCTTTCTCATGCCTTAATGCTCATTGCCTCTTCCGTTTGATCTCGGCCCTGCTGTGTTGAAAAGAAACTCTCCTATCTGCTTGAAAATCCTCGTAGCGAGTGTTGGAAAGAGGAGTTAGAAACATCTGGATGCAGAAAATCGTCTTTGGAGACCTGGATTTAAATCTGTGAGATCGTACCCCCAGGGCCTGCTAGCAGCTGGAGTTAAGCTGTGCCATGTACACTGTGATTCCCTTATGTTGTTGAGGGGTTGTACCTATGTTTCTGTAAGGTTATTGGCAAACCCAAAAAGTGAAGAGGCCTTCCTCAGCCAGGATATGTCCTGTTGACTTTGATATGCCCTGTTGATTTTGCTTTATTTAAAGAAAGGTGATGGAGGCCAACATGAAATGAGTGAGATAATGCATGAATAGGCTTTACCGTCCTGTGACATAAAGTTAGAATGTGAGCTCTGGTTCTACACTGGGATTCCGAGGTTATTTATAGGAGTCCGAGGAGTCTTAAAGGTGTTGACCCCTGTATACCCTGTTGTGGTTTTCGGAGCTGCGCTGTAACTGATCTGGCTAACATTTGAAATCCAGGGTAAATTTGACTGACAGTTTGTGTTAAGAAGTTACAAACACTAGAGCTGAAGGCTAAAATAGACTTGTTGATGACTTTTCTGATATAATGGTTGATATGGTCAGTTATAAGTATGGTGATTGTAACTAATTTTAGAATGCGGAATGTGATGATGACTGTTCGAGTGGAACTATGCCGCTACTGCATTAGTAACCACAGTTCTTGTATAACAGTGAAACAAAATGGAACTAACAACTGTCCTCCTGTAAATAGCAACAGAAGTTTTGGCTGTATCGAAGCATCAAAAGTTAATAGTGGATGAAGCAAGTAGTCTGCAAAGAACTACTCATTAAACACAATTAGGGGGCGGACCGATATTATCGGCCGATATTAGCATAAAAATGTAATAACGGAAGAGATTGTTATCGGATTTTTTTGCTGATCATGAAAACCGATAAAACAAGAGCACTCAGAGAGCTCAGCCCCTCCACCACACCAAGTCAACTCTGTGCATTAGTTATTTTCGTTGGCTGATGTAGGGTATTGTTGCATAACACCGCCAGGTGGCAGCAAAACCCAAAAGCACGCCGATTGGAAATCCGGCCCATTGGGGAGAGTAAATTTCTGCCAGCATAGCTGGATTTGAACTTTGGCTTATAGCTCAGCTGTACTTTGGCCTAGATATGCCAAAAGTGAATCTCTTTCATGTTATTTTAGTCGGCCTTACTTGCTGCCCACAGTTGTACTGGTCCAATATTTAAAAAAAGTCATATTGCCTAGGTGTAGGGGGCATTGACAGGATTATCTCAGGGAGAGTATGATCCAAACTATTGAGACAAAATTTTAAAAAATAAGTATGGCACTTTTTGCATTACTTAAATTGAATAAGTTTTCATATTTTTTTCTTTATTGTTTACATTTGGAAAGCCTTGTTGCATTTGTGAATGCATCCAGTGGGGAATCAGGAGAAAAGTTGACATGATGTGTTAATTCCACGACAGGAGATATGTCCTGTTGCCAAAATTAGTTGGGGGGGGGGAATAAAGCCCACATATATCGTTATCGGTGGATATCTGAATCGTAAATTAAGAGTCGGAAAATATCGGCATATCGGATATCGCAAAAAAGCCAATATCAGACATCCCTTAACACAATTTTAGGACAAAAAACAAGACAATAATGTCTTTAGCTGAGCATATTTGTGATTACCATGGTAAAATCACAATATACAACTCCGTGCCAGTCATTATATGAAAACAATTGCACAGCGAAGTAATCTGCTATATGTTGGGCCTTTTTACACCACTTAGGTGTGCAATTATTTTTGTAGAATGACCTTTATGTTGTTGTATATTGCTTATTCGTAACTCAAATATATAGATGAGTCGTATTAGTTTTGTTCCTGACATAGCACCTTTGTAGTCTCAGCTGCAGGGAGAAATAATAACCTCCTGCTATATTAATGAGGTCCATCGGAACCTATATGCTAGTCTTCCCCTGCCTGTTATTTGCATTAACCCCTTAAACTCAGATTTTTGCTTGAAATTCCACTTAAGTGGGTTGAAGTTAGAGAAAGCATTTTTCCCCATACTGCAGGACAGTGTCACGTACATGTTCTGTATCTGCTGGTTCCAGCGCTTCACTGAAGCTGCATCACACTTATATTGAGAGAAATATTCAAACCCAGGATGCCATGTTTTTATGGCCGCAGCATTACATCCATTGGAAAATATCTAGATCTTGTACATCATTTTATACACATATCCATGTAATTCAGCAGGACATATTTGGGATTATTGAAAACCTTGGGATCTCCTCTAGAATTTAAAATAGGCCTGAAGTTCCACAGATTTGAATACAGCAGCTGCATTTGATGCACCCACATATGGGACTACAGTGCGGAAGAGGTTAACCCTTTCATTTATATGACCACCACCAGCAGCCAGGGGTCACCAGTAACTCAGTGCTGCATGTTGCCTGTGATTCTCCCTTAATCCTCTGAAGAGGAGTCGTCTGTCTTGTCTTCATCGGCCTACACTCAGTCCCTGGGGAAAGAACAGCATAATCCTGACGGTTGTACTTCTCTCTCTCTCTCTCTCTCTCTCTCTCTCTCTCTCTCTCTCTCTCTCTCTCTCTCTCTCTCTCTCTCTCTCTCTCTCTCTGTTGTCTATTTGCAGTCAGCAGCCAGTCCCTGAGCGCCTGCGGATTCGAGTGAGCCGTATAAGCATGCACGACTACGAGGCTCTTCATTACGACAAGGAGAAACTGAAGGAAGCATGTGAGGAGTGCTTTCATCTATCCCTCGCTATCTGTGTCTCTGTCCCTCTGTCAGTCTGTCTGTTTATCTCACTGTCTCTCTATCTCTGTCCCTTAATCTCAGTCTCTCCATCTGTCTCTTTCTGTTTTTATTCATCTTTCTGTCTCTCTCCGTCTCTGTCTCTTTATCTGTTGACCTCTTTATCTTATTGTCTCTTTGTGTCTCTTTCTGTCTGTCTCGCCTTCAGTACCATTTCTCTCACTTTGTATTCTTAAAACCCCCTTTTTCTCTATCACTGTCTTGCACACACACACACACACACACACACACACACACACACACAGAGATGTCGCACAGAACCCCCCTGTCAGCTTTCACCCCAATTATGACTCCACTCTGCTCGAAGATGTCCAGCTGTGGTCTGTGGAAGGTTCCAAAAGCTCCATGGCTACTGGCCTGAGCCCTACACCAAAAAAAGATCTTAAGAAATTTTAATGACGGGACTTTGTAAATTGACTTTTTGATGTTTGACATTTGGCCTGCAGTTTAGCCTGGTCTTGAACACTCAAGTTTCTTTGGCTCTCGTTAAATCCTGGTCTTGCCTTTTCCTCTTGTATTAATTAAAGTGACTTTCATGCCTCCCTGTGAGTCAGAGTGAAAATATTGTTGCTTTTGCTCTTAGGATTGGACAACTCCGATAAATGCTTTATACTTCTCACAAACACGGGAGCTGGATTGGGCTAGAGAGACTCGTGCAATGGGATCGGGCGGATTGGTGGTCCGCACTGTGTACTGAATACATAACAACCGTATTCGTGCGTAAATATCGCCGTGAGTCTGTCAGCTAAAGCTAAAGTTTAATCTGCTACGGGAGTGTGATTCACCCCGTCACTGTCAGCAGTCCATGAACACACATAACCAAAAGCACCTATGTAGAGGGACACTTCTACACACAGATTCCTGCTTATCTGCATTATCGGGGGTAATTCAGTACGGACCAGGATGTCCTTTTGTTTTATTATACCTCTCAAATGTTTGGAATCTCTTTTGATTTAAGTAGTTCTTGGAATTTTATTCAATACAAGTGTTGGGTAATATTTATATTGTTATATGATTTATATATTATAGTAATTATATGAAACAAACACTAAAATGTATTAAGATTTTTGTTATTTAGTATTTCAAGGATATGGGGGAAAAAATATTCTCAAGGGACAACAAACCTCTCCTTTCTGGTGATTTCTAATCAAAGTATCAATCTGCTGTGAGATCTAAAGGAGCTGTGTCATGATTACTGTGCATGCTCAGAGCTTACATCCTAATAAAGTGAATGCGCTTGACTAATGGTCATAATCTGATTCCAGCCTTGCCTATCTGTCTTCGTTTTGCATTGTATTTATATATTTTAGTTACTGCGGCATTATGTTTTTTATATTAAGGAGCTCTGTGTGGAAATTTGAGGATTCAAAGTGCTATCTTAAACTTTAGCCAATGGATACGGAGTATGTAAGCTGGTTGCCATCGCCAGTTATCAAAGAACGAAAAATACCTTCTGGATTTTGACTCGCAGTTGAGTGGCTTTACTTAATTCAAGGTTGTGGGCATGCGCAGTAATCTTGACACCGCTCCTTTAATCACAAATCAAAGCTTTCTGCGGACTTTGGGTCCATGTTTTGTGTTGTTTCCTTGCTGTAACACGAAGTGCCTTCCATTTAATCTATGTGAGATCAGTGGTGATTCCAAACTTCTGAAAGGTAGTGTATGGGATAGTCAGCGGTCCTCTCCTCGCGAGTAATGGCGTTCGCCTTCCTCTGGTTACTGGGGATGACGTCACCGGCCCGGCTGTGATCCCCTGACCTCATCAGCTCGTCAGCCTGGCCTGCAGAGCTTGGAGTGATGCAACTGCTCAGACATCGCGGCCGCGAGGCGCAAATGAGCG